ATGGAATTTTAGAAAAGGGATAAATTGTGTTTGTCTTCATAAAATGCTGTGTAGGACACTGTTTTGTAGCTGTATGATGACCAATAGAATAGTACAGCAGATATTTCCTCGAGGGTCCATATTATTACACGGTACTGCATGTCTAATGGGCTAAATATAGTTAATATCTAAATGTGACTTTATATAAATTCACAAAAACATATTTCACTCAGTCTCCTGTATATAAAAACCTACGGTGAATTGGCCTATAACTACAATAGGTCATAGCATCATAACAACATAGTTGATCCAACTATGTGTATTTTTAATTTTTCAATCACAAAAACAAATAGTCTTCTGTAGGTTGAGTGAAGAGAGTGAAGCCCAACTGAATATCTACAGAAAATTTAATCCGTGGAGATCTACACTGTAACGTTTATATTTAAATTAACAAAAAACACAAAATTGTCAAGTCTATGGACGGGTTATTAATGTGTAAGCGTCGATTTAATTATGTTATTTCGCAGTATATCCCTCTACTGGACGCATCAGAAACAACAGGGTCCTAAAACTGCCGGGGCGTAAAACTGCCAGGGGCGTATATCTGCCGGCTCCAGGTCTGCAGCCTCCCCATATAGGTATCCACACCGGCGCGGTGATTGACAGCCGCACATTCTCCTCAAAATATTGGATTCATCCGCGCTGTGCCGTGCCAACATTTCGGACTGCAGCTTTAAAGGAGAACTCCGGCGCAAAATGAACCTTTGGTCTAATTACACATTGTTACCTAGTCAACCGTTATCTGAGATTTGTTTTCATGATTATTGAATGTAAATAGTTGTATCTCTAAAAACAGTTTAGCCTATAAAGCTAGTATATTGGGCATAGTGTAATGACAAATAAAAATCGCTTGTTAATACCACTAACAAGGCTGAAAATAGACCCACACTAACACGGTAGCATAATGAGGGTCCCTACCTTCAAACCGAAGCATTGAGAACTTTGTCAGTGTCCAGACAGTTTAATAAGAAGATATTTTAAACATACAGTCAATTTCGCGTATACAGGCAGGAGCCATCTTTGAAATACAGCCTTTACCAGTCGATCTACGAACGCCGATCCAAGTGCGCTGGTGAGAATGTGAACGAGCTATAAGTTGTGATAAGGTGAGCGCGAACAGCAGGCTTGGATCGGCGTTCGTAGATCGACTGGTAAAGGCTGTATTTCAAAGATGGCTCCTGCCTGTATACGCGAAGTTGACTGTATGTTTAAAATATCTTCTTATTAAACTGTCTGGACACTGACAAAGTTCTCAATGCTTCGGTTTGAAGGTAGGGACCCTCATTATGCTACCGTGTTAGTGTGGGTCTATTTTCAGCCTTGTTAGTGGTATTAACAAGCGATTTTTATTTGTCATTACACTATGCCCAATATACTAGCTTTATAGGCTAAACTGTTTTTAGAGATAAAACTATTTACATTCAATAATCATGAAAACAAATCTCAGATAACGGTTGACTAGGTAACAATGTGTAATTAGACCAAAGGTTCATTTTGCGCCGGAGTTCTCCTTTAATAATGCAAATGTATAGTCCAACATTTGTGCGTCTTTGATCGCTAGTGTGTTTTGCCCACTGTGCTGTGTTCTTTTTTTTTTTACAGTCTACGGTTTTGCTAATGAACGACGCGATGAAAGTGGAGAAGAATTCCCTCTGTTTTACATCGTGACGAAGTTATGCCTACGGTGGCGGAACCAATCCAATTTATACACAAGTTTGAGTAAATTAGAATAAGATTTAGAACAAATAAAAGAATTTCATGTCATTTAATTTATACTCACCTTATTCACATATGTCTCAGATTGTTTTTGTCAGAATCTCTCCGTCTTTGTCTGACTGCATTCGAGAAAGAGAAACTAAAAGGGTCTAAGCCTCGAGACTATTAGACGCGTTTAGTTTCTCTTTCTCACCACTTCCGCGTTAAACTTTGTTACCTACTTTGTGGGAGCGAAGGCGTATGGATGGGATCCAGATTCGACCAAAAGATGGAAAAATGGAGATCTGATGAATTTATTCTTTTAGAGACCAAAAACAAGCAGCAGAAGAGAGAGTGAAAATACGATTTCTCCCTTGAAGACAGCTGACAGCTCTTCATGAAATTTCTGTGTTCAGGTAAAGGGGAAAAGAAGGAAGAAATAACTAATTTGTTCAGACTGATATGTTATTACTCAGGGAGGTGCTGAACAGTTAAACCAGTTCCATGGACAGGTTTCCCCCCTCACTCCAACCTCTCATTTTATATATTTTTCTCTCTTTCCCTTCTTACTCCTCAGATGAAATATATAGAAGGTTCTTTTTTTTATATAAGCTTTTGTTCATTTTAACACTATGGAAGCTTGTTTCCGCCACTGAATAAAAATAAAATAATAATAATTGCGACTTTTTATCTCACAATTGCGAGATATGAAGTCAGAATTCTGAGAAATAGCTAAAGTCGCAATTGCGAGATATAATTACCAAACAAGGCCTGAAAACAACCAATCAGAACATGACACATGACAGAGAGGAAGCTTTAGATTCCATAACGACTTTAAAATACTACAGAAATTGAATAATCAAATATACAAATAAAACGCTGTATAGTCTTCACTGTATGAATTAAATATACATTACTTGAATAATAAAGATACAAAAGTGATTCAGTCAAAAGCAGTGAGTGATTTCTGATTTTTTAATTTTGTATTTACATTAATGAAATGGATGGCAACAGTTTATTAGGCTGCTGTCCCTTTAAGAACAAATGCACAGATCTTTTAATAAAGGTAATACTGTTAAGGGCCGTTCACATATCGCGCCTCAAAACGTGTGGAAGGCGTGGCTGTGCCGCTGTCTCCTTTCCACAAGCTTGTGAGCTCCCGTGGCGTCTGTCGTTGCTATGCAACCATGAACTGAGCTCTCAGTCTCTACAATGACGAAGTTTCAGTAATGGATTTACACCACCGAAAAACACTGAAGCTCTGCTACAAGATTTATTTATGGAGAAGAGAAAAAACTTGTAGTGTTTGGGTGCACTCCATCCTTAAAAGAACCATAGAGAGAATTTCACCAGCTGTGTGATTGGTTGGTTCTAGTCACATGACCCGCGGTGCGCCACCTACATTTCGCGACCATGTTGCTTCCATTATGAGCGCGCGCCTACATTTGAAATGATGAATTTGAGCGTGACATGTGAACGGCCCCTTACACATCCTATTTGCTTCCAACTGTTTACATTCACGTAGAACAAAACAGACTCCAGAATACTCCACACAATGTGCATTTTGACAAAATTGTGTGTAATTAACCATTAAAGCGCAATAAGCTGTGAAAGAGAGCTGAATTTGGGATTACATGCATTTGAGCGGCATTTGTGCTCGAGCTTCAGCTGTATGTCCGTCAGCGCAACATACAGTCGTTTTTTTCGCAGCTTATCGTGATTAATAACGCACCAACGTGTCAATAACTTTAAGTAGTAGAGTGAAGTTAAAAAAATATAACACAAAATATATTTAGGATATAGATTTTTGAAATTTGTACATCTATGCGATTCAGCTGAAGATAGAGTCGTGATTCATGTATGAATTAATTCCCCCCCCACCCCTAATATTGTGTAACATTGTGTTACTGATCCCATTCATAGTATGATATTAGTGACGTTATTAATTTCGCATTATTGATTATAGTGAACATGTAATTGTACATCTTCAATTGAGCTATGATAGTCATAGAAAATGAAAACACATTTTATACAAAAAACTCTTTGAGCTCCTGCATCATATAAACACACATAGACATCAAGAATCAGTATATGAATCTCAACAACGATGACATGATTCATGGTGCAATGCATCCTGGGTGCACTATGCGAAACCGAACTCCCAGTATGCATTGCAGCATGAATCATGTCACCGTTGTTGAGATTCATGCATTGGGTCTCATTCATGAAACATTCGTAAATATACGAGTAAATATGCGAGTGATTTGCGCGTAAAGAGACCTTCCCGAAAACTCTTCTCCTGATTCACAAATACTTCGTAAACGTCAGATGTGATAGTGAAATGTGTGTGTGTGTTAATGAATTCCAATCAGTCGTAAATGGGATGCGCGTGCACGTTCATTCTCAATTACCATAAATCCTGCCCATTAAATCCGACTGACAACTATATATGGGCATCATATTATGACATGAATGCGAATGAAAAAAAAATTCTCAGATGCAGAAATTGAAGTTTTATTATCAGAAGTTCATTCAAAACGCGTAGAAGTTCATTCAAAAGTTCATATTTTCAAGCGTAGCCTACATAGTGGCGTATCGGGTCCTAAAAAAAGGAAGCTTGGCAGCATATGGAGTTTCATCTGTTATCTATTAATCGAACATTCCCAGAAGTGAGAAGAAAATGGTTCGACATTAAGCTTGAGAGCAAAAAAAACGAATTAGTTCACTTCGGAAAAATAGTATTCAAACTGGAGAAGGACCACCACCGCAGATGCTATTACTGGCTCTCATGATAAGAAAAAACGTATGTAATTACTATATAATATTTTTTCAAATATTAGCTACATATTTGTTGAATAATAGCTACATATTTGTTGAATATGTAGCTACCCGATTAAGGTGAATTAAAATGCAGCCTTATTAATGAGCAAAACGTTCGGGTGTTAAGCGCACTATTTACGCGTGGCTGGGAGCAGGTGTAGATTTCTTGTGTACCAACTAACATTTGGAAAATACGAACATTTTAATGAATCCGAAAATTTACGCCAGAACCACTTTACACACGATTTACACAAAAATTCGTTCTGCTCGTGTTTCATGAATGAGACCCAATGATTCTTGATGTCTGTGTGTGTCTAAAGTCATTCAGGAGTTATAGGTCATATAATGGTAAACAGTTGCTGTGCATTTCCCAAGCACATCTCAGTGTAGGTCATTTATATTATGAAACTGACTATCATTTTAAGATAATGCAATAATGCATTTACAACTGTTGAAAAAAAAGATTTATTATCCTCATTTATGTTCTTGATTCTCTGCCTCTCCTGAGCTTCCTTGTTCATTCTTTCCTCTTCTTCCAACTTCCGTCTCTCATTTTCCTCTCTCTGCCTCTTCTGAGCCTCCTTGTACATCTCATTTGTATAATGTCCTCCTCCGTTCTCCATCACCATTCTTACTATCTTATCCAGCAGTTTATTAACCTGTGATGGATTTTTATCTTTGTTATTGAAAACATGATACCTGTCTTGACACTGTCTAACAAGCTCTTCAATCTGCCCGTTTTTGTTCAGAAACTCCTCTATAGGTGTATCTATCTGATCTCCTCTAGTGAACAGAATGATGGAGTAATAAGCAGCTTTTTCTCCAAAGTTCTCCTGAATCCATTTCACAGTTTTTTTCTCCTCGTCTGTGAATCTCACGTCCAGTCTGATGACCAGCAGAAATGCATGAGGACCAGGAACAGACATATTGACACATTTCTCAAGCTCATCCTTCAATATTTTTTTACTGATTTTTGTATCAAACAGTCCTGGAGTGTCAATCACTGAGATGTTTCCACCTTTCACCTTCTTCTGATGTTTCAGGCATGTCTTAGTCACAGATTCAGAAGACATGTTTTCTTCAAACACCTTTTCTCCCAGGATGGTGTTTCCTGATGCACTCTTTCCAGCTCCAGTTTTACCAACCACCATTATCCTGAGATCTGCCATGACTGCAGAAGATAAAAAGACAAGGTCCTGGTATTAACATGTGTTTCAAATGCATATCCCATTACAGCTTGTTTTCAGATTTCTTTGAGACTCTGCCTTTTTTTCTTACATTTTTGATTAAGGTAGCCTATATTATATAATACAGATACACTCACCTAAAGGATTATTAGGAACACCATACTAATACTGTGTTTGACCCCCTTTCGTCTTCAGAACTGCCTTAATTTTACGTGGCATTGATTCAACAAGGTGCTGAAAGCATTCTTTAGAAATGTTGGCCCATATTGATAGGATAGCATCTTACAGTTGATGGAGATTTGTGGGATGCACATCCAGGGCACGAAGCTCCCGTTCCAACACATCCCAAAGATGCTCTATTGGGTTGAGATCTGGTGACTTTGGGGGCCAGTTTAGTACAGTGAACTCATTGTCATGTTCAAGAAACCAATTTGAAATGATTCGAGCTTTGTGACATGGTGCATTATCCTGCTGGAAGTAGCCATCAGAGGATGGGTACGGCCATAAAGGGATGGACATGGTCAGAAACAATGCTCAGGTAGGCCGTGGCATTTAAACGATGCCCAATTGGCACTAAGGGGCCTAAAGTGTGCCAAGAAAACATCCCCCACACCATTACACCACCACCACCAGCCTGCACAGTAGTAACATGGCATGATGGATCCGTGTTCTCATTCTGTTTACGCCAAATTCTGACTCTACCATCTGAATGTCTCAACAGAAATCGAGACTCATCAGACCAGGCAACATTTTTCCAGTCTTCAACTGTCCAATTTTGGTGAGCTCTTGCAAACTGTAGCCTCTTTTTCCTATTTGTAGTGGAGATGAGTGGTACCCGGTGGGGTCTTCTGCTGTTGTAGCCCATCCGCCTCAAGGTTGTGCGTGTTGTGGCTTCACAGATGCTTTGCTGCATACTTTGGTTGTAACGAGTGGTTATTTCAGTCAAAGTTGCTATCTATCAGCTTGAATCAGTCGGCCCATTCTCCTCTGACCTCTAGCATCAACAAGGCATTTTCGCCCACAGGACTGCCGCATACTGGATGTTTTTCCCTTTTCACACCATTCTTTGTAAACCCTAGAAATGGTTGTGCGTGAAAATCCCAGTAACTGAGCAGATTGTGAAATACTCAGACCGGCACATCTGGCAACAACAACCATGCCACGCTCAAAATTGCTTAAATCACCTTTCTTTCCCATTCTGACATTCAGTTTGGAGTTCAGGAGATTGTCTTGACCAGGACGACACCCCTAAATGCATTGAAGCAACTGCCATGTGATTGGTTGATTAGATAATTGCATTAATGAGAAATTGAACAGGTGTTCCTAATAATCCTTTAGGTGAGTGTATATACTTCTACAGTGTTATTTAACCCATCCGTTATTGCTGTTGAAAAGAAGCTCTTGTTGGAAGTACCTTGTTGATGATTTTACACTTTTAAATGTCATTTTAATGTTTAATGTTTGATGGTTGAAGGGTGAGTAGAATAATTTCATCTCATTGTAAAAAATATATTGCGTTCATAGAGCGAGCCTTTCACTGATTGTTTACAGCTCAACGGAAGTTACACCTACAGTATATTTCGCACAAAGCATTATGGGGCGTAGGAATAAGGTGGATAAGTTTTACATTTTCAGTTCATTATGAAACAGTGGCGGCACAGGGTCATTAAAGCAAAACACTGAATGAATGTTTAGCTGACAAATGTGTAAAAGTTGAGTAATATTATATATTGTGTCAGGGGAATATCCTTAAACACTGATCAATTAAATATCATACTTTCTGTTCTCTTCTTTTTAAAGAATGTCAAAGATGCGAACCATTATCCAGGTCATTTTGAACAAGCGCAAAAAATGACGAAAGCTTGCTTTAATCAGAGCTCTGGCGTGACTGTGCAAAGCACGTTACAATATTGAGTTCGGATTAGTCAATCACTGTTATTTATAGTTTGTCTAATAATCATACAGAGAATTTTAATGGAGATGGTGGCTTCTTTACAGAGGGGATGCTTTTTGTCTTTTTTTTCAACAAGGGGGATGCCATCCCTCAAATCGAGCCCTGGATATACATCATTCTTATGAAAATGATGGCTTGAAGAACACAGATACACAGATATATCATCTAAATCGTGTGTTTATTGTCTTTATGTTGCTTCAGTCATAACGTCTCTTTTTGCATGTTATTGAGTGGTTGCAGGTGACATCACTTTATAGGCCAAGAAACGTGTTAGCTTTTTAACACTTCTAGTTCAATCGTCCCGGAATGAATAGTTCTCTTACGAGAGGTTATCTCGTATTGCGTAAGTTTAGCTTAGGCTACGGGAAAGATTCATCTACTCGAGATATTGAAGCCAAAAAATGATCCTTAATTTTGTATTCATTGTCAACGCAGTGCAGCAGCTAGCAGACCTAGAGCAGGCTATCTCGCGTGCTCATTGGCTGCCCTGCGGGCAACTGCAACAGCCTACCAGTGAGCCCGGCGTGACGTAACGCCCAATGAAGGGCGCCCGCGCCTTCATAGCGTCATAGCCCGCCAGAATGGGCGTGGCTTAGCGTATAAAAATAGGGGCTGTAGGCTGACTTCCCTAATTTTTCGTCTCTTCAGCGTGCTCTTCGCATCGCTGGATCTGAGGAAGCCGGCCGTCTTCGCCACCTTCAGCCATCCGTGCGAGCTACGCTATCCGGCGACGTATCCTTTTTTTGCCTTGCTATATTCCTAAAAGAGCAGCGAGCGTCTTTTTCAAGATGCCTCGCACTTCCTGCGGCTCGTGCAGGGCCCCGCTCAGCGTCAGAGACCGCCACGTGATCTGCGCTCTCTGCATGGGCCAGGAACATGCAGAGCTCGCCCTCGCGTCGGAGGCTGCGAGCTCTGTGAAGCGCTTCCGTTGTCGACCCTGCGGGCTTGACTCGAAGCATTCAAACCGGAAGTAGTCACTCCGACCTTTGCGGGACCGCGCAAGAAGAAGCGCCGTTCCCAAAGCCAGCCGGAGCCTGTGGCCACAGCGACGCGCTTGCCGGAAAACCTCCCTCGAGCCTCGCTTTCACCTTCCCCGCCTCCCTTCGCCAACACGCAGCTGCCGCTCACGAACCTCACTGCCGTCGCGTCTGAGGATGAGGTCGAGGGACACGCCACAAGGGACTACTGTTCTAACCGCGGATAGCTTCCTTTACGTTACAAGGAAGCTACCCCGCCCTCGCACCCCGTGCGCTCTTGTTATCTGTTCGCACTACTTAAGCTTACGTTTTTTCCCCCTGTGGCTCAGTGGCTAAACCCTAAGCTTTCGCGCCAGAGACCCATGTTCGATCCCGGCTCCCGCAGCAGATAAAATTTATGCAGCTCTCCTTTCTGAGCTCGCGACCAGCTTTCTTACATACAGAAAGCGAGCGTGCGCCCCGCGCGCATGCGTCACCGGCGAGAGGGGAAAGAGTGTGGTTGTTTTTTCCGCCGAGGCCTGACAAACCCCCTCTTTTCTCAAACATTTCCCAGCTCCTCCCAGTTCCAGCGGCTGGTAATGTCTATACTGCAGTGAGCCTGTTATATAACACGCACGCCTGCAAACAATGCCGACACACACACGGAAACGGTGATGACGCTTTCTCTTATGTGCTCGCGCTAACTAAAGCTTATGTTGTTTCCCCCTTTGGCTCAGTGGCTAAACCCTAAGCTTTCGCGCTGGAGACCCATGTTCTATCCCGGCTCTCGCGGCAGATGAAATTTATGCGGCTCTCCTCAGCGAGCCGCCGTATTCAGATCCGGCTCACGCCGATGGTGTTTTTAGTGTAGAAAGGTGCCCACATCTCTGTGTTCACCCCTACACACAAGCACAACACTTCCCGTGTCATTCACAGAGCCCACTCCCTTAAAGCGAGAAACTGCTCGAGTGTTGAACGTAGGAAATGTGTCCACGAGTTCGTGCCCACGCCTACTTTCTGCCCGTTCTATCACACGACCATTAAAGACTCATATCAAACTATGAGAGAGAAAGACGCGCGTGTCCCGCTGCGGCCGGACTGCCGTCAAAGTTTATTCCCTGTCAGTCCCCTTCAAACAGGCTACTGCAGTGGTTCATTTAGCAGCCAACGAGCCGGTTCTTTTTTTCCCTCTCGCCTGCACACAAATGCCGTTTTCACGGCGACCCAGAGAAATCTCAAAGAGTATAATGTCTGGTTATCCGGCTCACGCCGATGGTGTTGTAGTGACTCTGACAGGGTATCCGGAGAGATGTATCTAAATTAGCGAATCCCGATTTGCAAACAAAGGTCAGTTCTTCGTGAGTAAACAAAGGGGGCATTCTGTATACGACCCCCTTCGGGCATGTTGACCAGATTGGTGCCACTATGGCTAGCACATGACACATTTGGAACAAGCCAGCGTTGTCTTCAACAAATGGTCAACCATTCGTACCTCGCCGTCTCACGGGACACGCATCCCCCCCCACAGAAAGAGTCCACAAAGCTGCCTGAACGCTTAAGGACAATCACACATTAATGCACACACACACACAAATGTCCTATAATGTGTATATAAATGTATATAACACAGAAATTGTATCCAACCTTCCTGTACGCATGCATATCTTATTAGCTTTGCTTTATAATAGAAGTGTGGTTTGCTAGTGTATAGCTCTGAAGTCTAAGAGTTCATCAAAAGAATGTTCCAACACATTAACACACAAACACCAGCCATGGAACTTTTCAGAGAAAAGTACCTCTAAATGTTTTAAATGTATTCATTTTGTGCTTAGATGTCGTCACATGCCATACAGGAAGTACTGACAATTTTATAGCGTGTTAACCAACTTTAAAATGCTTGTAATTCTGCATATGAATGTAACTCTATGTTCTTCTACTTTTACCTGCCATGTCTGGTAGCTGTTTGACCGTCTTGTCTTGACTGAACCAGTCATACATAGGATATTACTGTAAAATCTATTGTCCGGTTTGTACAATCTTTCTGGGTAGGAATGACAAAATGTTATACCATCATAAA